ATTTTCTATTTTTGTGTGACAAGCATTGATTTCAATTGAAATTCATACATAATAGCCTTTCTTTATATGTTCTTTACTTTATCATGTACATAAAATGGAGTTCTATAATCACAGAAGAAGGTACTCATACCTTTGTTCTATGAACTGGCATGGTTCGGCTGCAAGCCGCCTCTGCTGCGGCACACACCTGATCACGTGGAAGCCAATGCCACCACGCTCCATCGGGAGAGCCCCGCCATGCCACCAAAAGGACGCCTGAGCCACCATAGTAGACTGGGGATCCTCCGCCTCCGCCTCCACCGCCGCCACCGCCACCATCGCAAGTCCAGCGGGCACATATTTGTTTCCACTTGCAAGGGATATATCCAATTTAGGTCAACCTATAGGGCATCCACACAGCCAATAGGATACTATAGCAACTCCAAAGAGATGTTAGCACAACCAGGCATCTAGCGCAATGGTAAAGACGCTCCAATCCTTGGTCCAGATCCCGTGTTCGACTCCTAGGTATCAGACCTTTTTTTGAGAAATTAAACCCTGATGGCACACATGGTACAAGTGACATGCAAACCGTCGGGTCCCATAGATCGGATGGAGATGGAGAAAGGTCCCATAGGTACACGTGACACGTAAGCCATCGGGTCCCAAAGATTGAATGCAGAAGGACCGAGTGGAGACTTTTATGATAAATTGCAAGCGTCAAGTGACATGCAAGCCGTCGGGTCCCACAGGTCAGATGGAGTTGGACCATCGGGTCCCACAGGTCAGATGGAGATGGAGAACGGTCCCACAGGTAACCATCAAGTCCCACAGGTCGGATGGAGATGGAGAAAGGTCCCATAGATACATGTGACGCGTAAGCCATCGGGTCCCACTGGTACACGTGACAAGTAAGCTGTCGGGTCCCACAGGTCGGATGCTAAAGGGTCCCGCAGGTACACGTTGAATGGAGAAAGGACCGAGCGGAGACTTTTATGATGAATTGCAAGCATCATAGATGAGTACTTTCAGGTCCCATAGGTACACGTCGATGAAGAAGGGTCCCACAGGTACACGTCGCATGGAGAAAGGATCGAGTGGAGACTTTTATGACGAATTGCAAGCGTCACGAATGAGTAACTGTAGGTCCCACAGGTATATGTCGGATGGAGAAAGTACCATGTGGAGATCTATGGCAAAGCACCGTTCGTTACAGATCGAATATTGTTCGTCATAGATGTGTAATTAGTTCAATGACAAAGCCCTGTTCATCATAGTATTAAAGGAGATTGTCATAGATGAGTTGTGCGAGTGATCTGTGACAAAACCCTATGCTCTTCTATGACATTTTTTGTGACAATGCCTAATTTCATCATAGATAGGGAGGGTTGAAGGATCGTCACCACTGATCTATGACGAAACGGAAAAATTCGTCATAAAAAGCGATCTTCTACGACGGTTTCAGAATCGCCATTAAGATTTCCATCATAGAAGTGGATATTTTTAGTAGTGGCAGCCTCGCCAATGCCGCTAGGTCCATGGAGTAGAGCAGGAGTCAGATGACACGCTGTCATGAGGCTAATAGCCAATGGCAGGTGGGGTCGTTGTTGACGGTCACTAACATCAATTATAAACCATCAACATAACCTACATATATACTTAATTCCATCACCAAACATAGTTATAGAGGTTTAAACTAATAAATACCATAAGTTTTGATGAATTTGTGTTTTCAGCAGGGTTTATCCAGAAAGCCACCAAGGAGAACTTATTCGTCAAAGGAAATCACGGAATTCCATGCGCGTAAATAGCGTGCGAAGACTCTAGAAGACTCCAGGAGACTCTCCACCGAAGATGATCGCGAGAGGCTGACATGGGGGTCGGCCGGCCCCACCTGTAGGCCGGTCAGCCTATGAGTCCCACCAGTCAGCCCCTCCTTTATACGTCGGTTTCCCACCGCCTCCTAGATTGCACCTACGTCGTTCTTTAAAGTCAGTTTGATCCGAGAGTCCAGAATTAATGCTCTGGCCTATATATACTAGCCCCTGCCCCCTCCCTAAGCCATCCTAAAACTCTAATTTATATTCTCCTCGTCAGGATCAGAGCCAGCTATCAAGAGAAGATTAGTCCTCTTTAGGATCTAGTTTTGTAAATAATAGTGAGATAGAGAGTGAGGAAAGAGTTTGGAGGAGGTGCCGGCCTATCGGTGCTCTCTCTATGGCTTGTACCTTGGTGGATCCAAGTTCTATCTGAGCTTGCCTCTGAGATTTCTCTAGTAATCAACTTCTAATCTAAGTAAGCATCTTGTTTATATTGTTCATCCGGTTTGCGACTCTTTTGAGTGCTTTATTCTCTTCCTAGGGGAGTAAAGTATTAATCATAAGTGTAAGCGTGGTGCTTAGACTTAGGTTAATCGTAGATGCATCTTATATTTCGGATCGGTGGTAGCTCGCGAGGGTGACTCTTATAGCCTCGTTGAATCCTCTGTAGTCCACCTCCCATTTGTAAGGGCATGTAGGACATGGTTATAAAGAAAAGCATCCTCTGCTGGTGTCTTTCCCTAGTAATGTCCCCAATTGAATAGTAGAAGACAACTTACCCAAGTTAGAATTAGAGAATCTTAATTTTTCTCTCTAGGCTCCTATTTATCATAACCTTGTTGATACCCTTAGTTAAGTTAGACCGTAGTTAGTCTCACATGTTTTTCTGTGGATACGATACTTAGAATACTTTCGGGTGAAAGATACAACGGTATCCGTGCACTTGCGGATTTATCTGTGTGTGTTAAAATATACCAACAGTCGTCGGCGCCACCACTTGCCTATAGCGTGTCAGAGAGTGCCGCGTAGGTGGCGAGCGAGCAGAGGAGCGCATGCCAAGCGGTCGGCGTCGACCAGCGTCGCGACGTCCTAGGAGGCCACGTTGGGCAAGACGAAGGAGAGCGCTAGGATGCAGGAGTGCGCCTGCGACTGCGAGACGGATGCCCCCACCAGGACGAGGTTGGGTTGGAGGCCGAAGCGGCTGCATCCATGTATTAGCTAATGGCTCCAAACACCCTTAGCTAATATAGTTGGCTAGTTAATAATTAGCTGGCTAATATTAGTTATGAGCTATTAGTCAACTAGCTAGTTGTCAGCAACTCATGGATCCAAACATGGTCTAAATCTCCTAATAGCATAATAATTTAAACTTTTTGCCAACTGTGCATGGGTTCAACTATGGTATACCAGCCTGAAAAAAGTCTAATTTATTTTTCTCAACTATAGTAACCCTTCGATTTTGCTCACTGAACTATAAACAAGTTTTTTACCCTTTCCACTTTTAAAACTGTTTATTTTGCACTTTCGGTGATTTTTATTAGTAATTTTGCTGAGAAGGTAAAGTAGACTATGTTATGTATATATATGTAATGACCTTGTCTAAAAATTTATCCAAATACTTTTACATGGAAAAATAATGCAATTAAAAATCCTAAAATACGGTTTAATAATAAAAAATACATAGAAAATTGTTTTTATTATTTCTAAAATCATGCTCTCTCTTGTGGTGCCTAGTTTGAAATTGTTTGGATCCTGATAGACCCATTTTAGTGCTTATTTGCTAATATAAGCTCTCGTTATCTATTATAATTAGTCGATGTTTATCGTCTAGACCACGTAGAAGCGCCAGTGGAGTGTCATCAAGACTGGACATGGATCCCTGCGTTGTATGAATTTTCAAAGCAGTTTTGTATTAGCCTGTGTGGCTGCATGCACCATGCAGGGCACCAAAATGAATCCCTTATAATGGAGAATTTGGATAATTGTACACATTTTGCTCTTATAGACCCCAGAAGTGGGTCTCTTCACTACACGATCCCCACTTGTGATCATATTGTTCTCCATTATACAATGCGGTTAGGTGTGTTCCCTTCCTTGAACATAAAATGCAACCTATATAACTCACATCAGCGGACAATCAGTCCCTCAAAGCCACGAAGGTCCTCCCCTAACTAACTTGTGTATCCTTCAAGTGTCACAAGGGGGGAAAGAAGTATCTTGATCCTTGAAGCTAATGATCAGGAAATCACAGACAGCAATTACCACGATGCCTGGGCTTCAACTAAAATGGCATTACAACCATTCTGGCATGGCCCGCATCTGAATCTGATGGTCTGTTACAATGTCACTTGGGAACGGAATTATGTGATGGTTGCTGCTGTTTCCAGCTCCCTTAGCTTGGAATCAAAGAAAAATAATATTTTTATTAATGTTACCATCTTTTTTATCACCAACTACACTTGTTCAACAAGCATTTTGTTATGAGCCAGTAGAATGGTAATATGGGTTAGTGCAGATAAATGGGTTTTATACTCTTGATTGTTTATATGTTTCTTTTTCTAGCATTTGGATGCATCAATACAGAATCCACTATTTCTCTTATACGTGAATGAAGCACAAAGATGTTTGAAAATTACTTCATTCGGTTTTCCACAGAGCAATTAACTGATAAGAAATTAAATTAGTCTTGAGAATAACTGGATTGGTTGCTTAGGTTTGAATGAACTACGTACTGATCCTATCGTTCATTCACCAGACAATTTATTTGGACATTCATGGAAGCTATAGTACGTAGGTACAGATTCAGCTGGATCACTGATGAAACAGGCCAATATATTCGAGTTGATTCCCACATGTGGCCATGTCCACAAAAAACCCATTTCCTTATCCAAATGGTTAGTTATATGGCAAAGTGAAGGAAATTAGAACCTCTCAGATGTTCCTAAGCTGCCAGCTGCCAGTTGCCAGAATTTGACAGTTCCAAACGATTATCAGAATCCAACTCAACGCACCTGCAAAGCAAAGCCGTCCTGCACACACCGTTTTTTTATTGGAGCCGCTCCAAATTTCATATCACTCTCTTCAGACAACGACAACACAACCTGTAAGACCACTATGTTGGCAACTAATCCAGCCTTTATATAATCCTACGAGAATCTTTGCCTACTCAAGCTTGCAACCAAAGAGATCACTTGATCAGAGATGAAGGCACCACTCAGCACTTCATCCACCTGCACTTCAGTTGCAAAGAAGGCGCGCTCTTCGCCATTGCTATTGGTATTGGCACTCTTCCTACTTTGCTTCTCCTTCCTCTACGGCGAGGACCTCAAGGAGCTCCTCGCTCGGCATGGCGAGGAAGCATCACGCCTCATCGCCAACACCTACAGCAACAACATTGAGAGCGGGCAATCGACAGCACCACCCTCCGGTAAAGTCAGCAAATCACTGATCAAATTGAAGTCGTTCGTAATAACAATCCGAGATCACATGATCATCAGAGGTTGCCGAGACGATGATGACGACGACGACGACGAAGAGGAAGTGGAAGGGGAGGCTGGCGTTCGCGCTGAACGACGAGGACGAGGACGAGGACGAGGCGTGCGACGTGTTCTCGGGAAGCTGGGTGCGTGACGACGCGGAGCACCCGCTGTACCGGGAGGAGGCCTGCCCCTACATCCATCCGCAGCTGACCTGCCAGGCGCGGGGGCGGCCGGACACGGCGTACCAACGGTGGCGCTGGCAGCCGCACGACTGCACGCTGCCGGCGTTCGACGCCGTCCGGATCCTGGAGGCGCTGCGCGGCAAGCGGATGCTGTACGTGGGCGACTCGCTGGGGCGGGGCCAGTTCGCGTCCATGGTGTGCCTGCTGCAGTCCGCCATCCCCGACGCCGGCGCCAGGTCGTTCGAGATGTCGGCGGACCAGCAGCACACCGTGTTCACGGCCAGGGAGTACAACGCGACGGTGGAGTTCTACTGGGCGCCGTTCCTGCTGGAGTCCAACTCGGACAACGCCGCCGTGCACCGGATCTCCGAGCGCATGGTGCGGCGCGGCTCCATCGGCTACCATGGCCGGCACTGGGAGGGCGTCGACGTCATCGTCTTCAACACCTACCTGTGGTGGTGCACCGGCCTGCGCTTCAGGATCTTGTACGCGCGCACGTTAGTACACAGCATTTTCAGTGGATTACTGTTCTCAATCTTTAATTTTTGTGTGATTCGATCGGCAAATTAAAACAAAAGGAACGGGCCGTGGGAGGACGCCGGCAAGGAGAAGGCGTGGGAGTGGATGTCGACGGAGGAGGCGTACGGCATGGCGTTCCGGGACATGCTGCAGTGGGTCAGGGACAACATGGACTTCAACACCACCAGGGTCTTCTTCACCAGCATGTCACCCACGCACCAGAAGTAACTGCGACATGCATGGCTAGCTGCAGGTTTCCTAGATCATATCGTCAGGTAGTGTGTGCTCTGTGCTCACATGTGGAGTTGCGTCTGTGTGGGTGTGTGCAGGAGCCAGGACTGGGGCGATGCGCCGGGCCACAACTGCTACAACGAGACGACGATGATCGGGGACCCCGGGTACTGGGGCTCGGACGGCCGCCGGAGCGTGATGCGGATGATCCGGGAGATCCTGGACGGCGACGGCGCCGACGTGCCGCTCACGTTCCTCAACATCACGCAGCTGTCCATGTACCGCAAGGACGCGCACACCTCCATCTACAAGAAGCAGTGGAGCCAACCCACGGCGGCGCAGCTGGCGGATCCCAAGACGTACGCTGACTGTGTCCACTGGTGCCTACCGGGCCTCCAGGACACGTGGAACGAGCTCCTCTACTCAAAGCTCTTATACCCTTAGGCCTTGTTTGATGCGCATGTATTTATCTCAATCCATATGTGTTGACGTGAATTGGAGTGAAATTAAACTGAATTGAAGTGAATACACATGCATTCAAACAATGTCTTAGTTTTTTTATTACATACATAGTGTAAAACTAGCATCAAGTTTTGTTCCTAACTAAACAAAACAGACCACACTTATTACAAGGTTCAATCACACTCAGTTCTTATTACAAGCTCTTCTACCCCTAGCACAAAGATATATGAGTCGTTGTATATTCTTAACACTGTCTGTATCTGTATTTGGTATCCGAATGGCCTACCCGACTCATACATAAACCCTTCGGGTAGACGAAAATCCGCCATATTTTTTAGTCCTGCTACTATCAAGAGTAGGGGACAGCCCCTCTTATGTCTCTTTTGTGTCTTGGCTTTCAGGTACTTTTGCTCTAGACTAACAAACACCAGATCCACCACCTTCTCTTTGAAAATAAATAGGACATCTACTTGATGACAAATGCAAGACATATCATAAAGCGATCAAGCAAATGGTACATGTTCCTAATAAGAGTGTTATGATAAATATTAGGTACAAGTGTTGATAGTCCCACCGATTTCGCAATGTTATGATTCATGTTGTACACTTGCCTGCAATTTTTAGGCCACTTTGCTAAATAATAAATGATATTTGGTCCTACATCTTCTTCGTTTATTTGTCTCAGCAAATTGGCCATCTACCATATCTATCATCCATGGCTACAAGCCTACAACTTGTATGTATGCATGAACAATGCACTACGATTCCTAATAAGAAAGGAGAAAATGCATATACGGAAACAAGATCAAGATTCAAATCCTTACAAATTAATATAAGTTTAAACTAAGTTATAATATCTCTGAGAATAATCTCCTTCTTGAAACACCCTAAAAATTGCTTCTTTATACAGTTACATGGGAACTGCGGCTCTCGCTCGGGCCTAGCTGTGCCCCCCTAGCGCTGCCCCTGGCGTCGCCTCCAGCAGCCGCCGGCGCTTCCCAGCCTACCTCCTTGCCGCTGACCTCGCTATCTTCTCCGGTGTCGCTGCCGCCGGAGGCGGACCTCCCGGATGTCTCCTTTGTTGTCTCCCGTCCACCTCACAGGATGTTTGGTCATGGCATAAGCAGCCCTCGCCATTGCTGAGGTCTCCGAATCAAGCCATGGAGCTCCAAGGCCTCAGTTCCCGTCCTGGTGTTGGCGTCCAAAAGGTGATCAGAAGCAAGTTTGACTGCTCGGTGTCCCCAACGATTTGGGGCCGCGCCTTCTTCCTAGTCGCCTCCTTTGGCCATTGTAAGTTCAAGCTTTCCCTTGCCTCGGTCGGAGCCATTCTTCAGGCTACGATCGGGGGCATCGCCTCGGATTTTGTGGTTCTTCATCTTGCGGATAGAGTTTTTTGTTTCTAGGTTTCTTCAAGTTTTGTTGGTTTTCATGTTATCAAACTGCGTTCTTTTGAGTGCTCTTCCTTTAAAGTTTTCTTCCACCTTTGGAGCAATGGCGGCCCAAACTAGATTCGTGTGTGGATAAGTTTTTGTGCAAAAGAAGAGGCCTCCTGGACTGCTATCCAAAAGAGGACTACCTGCTAGCAATCGAAGCTTGATCAGGCCTTCAGTCACCTTCACTGATGCTGTGAAGAGTATTCTGCTTACTGGGGCTAACAGAGTTTCCATTCCAGTTCATCAACCTCGAAAGAGCATTTTTGATCGTTTGGTTTTTCCTGCTGATCTCAGACATGCAATGAGCAAAGGGAAGAATCCCATTAGTCAAGTTTCTCAGGCTAGATCAAAGCATATAGATACTAGTTTAAGTTTGAAATCTGGTGCAGCCCCGGGTCAACGGACTATAGGGACAGTCAAGTAGAGTCACTTGTCTACCACCTCTTGTAGTATGCTATTGTTTATGTCGGTGATCTGTTCTTTCAGGTTATCCTTTTTGCAACTTTAGAAGGAAACTTTACTACTTTTGGTTTGATATATGGATCTTCCGATAGGATATGGAGAGATTACCAAGAAAAAGCTCACGAGGAGACAATTCATCGGTGTAGTTCCACAATGGGTCATGACTAGAAACCTCAATACCAGCGCATGCCGAGCAGCACAACCTTGTGTCGGCCACCACAGGAGGCTCTCGGTTTTATCACGGCACCGTAGATCGCTAATCGTGGCACCATTACTGAACCTACAAGCCATAAGAGTTCTCACGTGGCACAAATTGGGTTGCATAGGAGGACGCACCATGCGAAGGAGGGATAGCAAGTAAAGGTGGTCACAAGGTTAGGAGTCAACAAGGGGTGGTCCAAAGTAAAGACATGGCACATGGGAAACATAAATTAACTAATGAATACAACTAAGCGTGAGACTCATGCTTTAATTTCACGCATGCCCTGCGTTTAGCAAGGAGATTACCAAATAAAAGATTACATGAGATTTGGTCTTGTTGGGCAGCAACATGAGATCAAGACCGATAAACATTCCGAGACTTGAGAGAGTTGGAGATTAAACAAGCGAGATTTGAGGGATAGAGCCGATACACTACTCGGAGATTCAGTTGATAAAGCAACGAAATGATTTGCAAGGAAAAGACTATGAGGTTCAGGCAGCGAGAGGTTAGCGTTGCACCGAATCACCTTTAGGATAAGGGCAGAGATGTTCGACAAGGATTTTTGGGCAGGGTCTTCACACACAGGAGCAAGACATCCATGACATATGCAAGCATTTAAGGGAACCAAGCTTATGCTTATGAGTCAAGCAAAGGCATGGATACACAAACATTCAAGGGCTAACAATCACACATACATCATGGTAATACCTAGAAAGCAAGCAACCACACGTCTAGAGGACTAATGTGAAGATAACTTGAAAGGAAGAACCTGACATTATATTTAAAAGAAAAGCAGGTGCAGGCTTCTAACAAGGTATCACTACCAGTTTTAGTTTTCAAAAGGGTGAAGTTTTTGCTAACTACTAGCTTGTCATCTATTTTCTTTGGAAGCAAACATACAAGGCAAAGCTAATCCCACACTATCTTCAACCACAGCTATTCAAACAGCATGGAACAAGGTATTTTGCCTAGCTTTACATAGGGAAGATAGTAACATCACATTGATCACAAGTTACTTAGTATTAGAACAAAGTGAGAGAAGCATATTTATGCACAAGCACAATCATGATGCATGACCGTCCTATTCGTCCTCACAAAATTACCAGCCTAAGGTGGTAATCACGTTCTATGTCGGTGGCATAACACTTATTCTCATGACATATAGCTAGTCGGCAGCTACATTCAATCTACGTATTCGTAGTTAGCGTACTTGTAGAAGATTCCATTTTAGCCCAACCCCACAATTATATGTATGCGGAAATAAAAATCTGGTCTCTAGGTTTCATTCTAAATACTTCCATATATACACTTCTGTATCAAAAGCTACCCATCATTAAATACGTCTATACATACATATAGAATATGCAAATATAGCCGTACAAAAGCTAACCCATAATTAAATACTTCCGTATATATATATGAGATATATATACTTTAGTATCAAAACTACCTCTCCCCTTTGACCGCACGCTCAAATCTTGCGGTCATGCCACTCACCAACTTACCTAGGCGTAGGGGTATATTGATCCATACATTACCATTCTAGCAAATGTCATCCATACAATAGCACGCCGTATGGACAACGAAATAAAAATTGCAATTAAGTAAATCCTCCATAGTTAATATTAGTTTACTTAGCCACCTAGTAGTCCTTAATTAGGCTTAACTAGAGGTTGTCGCTAGCATAGTTTTGCAAATTAGTTTTGATAAATTTGCCTGTAGCTAAGGTTTTAGTGCAAATAGGCTTTTAAAATCAAAACTTTATTTTTAAAACTACGTACATGATAGTATTATGCTTAATCTTGCTCTGATACCAGTTGTGATAGAACCACCCAATTTATATAAGATCAAGTACGGCTGTCCTCGTTTAACACGTTGACGCGCACATACTTTCACTTATATAAATCCGGTAGTCCGCCGAGTGTCACGAAGGACCTCGGTAAATCCACATCACAACCAAGATCGCACGATTAAGCAAATACACATCATATACACAGAGTTATAGCAGAAATAATATTTACAATGAGTTCACATAAAATAATACAAGTTTGGGTTTCAAAACCGATTAGTGAAAACAACATAGCTTTCAACTAATTACAATAATATAAGTTCCAAATACATTGCTAGCATACGCGACATCCTCCAACAATGGCATATAGACGACGAATACATATAGAGTCGGCGAGTCCACCGGCGGTTAGCCATCATCTTTAGAAGGCCAAGAATTTTACCTGCAACATGGTGAGATAAACTCTGGGTACTCGAATGTACTCAGCTAGACTTACACGTTATAAACCAAAAATAAAGTGACACCAAGGAGTATGTAAGGCTTTATCGATGGAGTTAGCTTGACAACATTTTGCATAAAAGCTTAAGTAACATAACTTAGAGATTTAATATCTTTAGCATCAAGTTAAATACCTATTCAATTAAGCATCTCTAGATTAGCACCTGTACTAGAGCAATCACTTGATTAAGCTAACAAGCATTAGTAACCATATCCGGTGTATTAATTTGAGCATCATCATAACCATCAAGTTTCATCAATTAATGCTACGTTGCCGCTGCTCAGTCAAGTTCTCACTATCCGGAAGAGACGACGACTCGAATTGATTCCAACCAGCTGGGGAATTATTCCTAACACAAACCTAGGCAGACCAGATCAACGGTCACCTTAGATCACCTTTGGTACAACTTAGGTCCACATTTCATGGGTTCGATCAGCGCCGCACAATCAGGGATGACCAGCTCCTAGGACGTTCAGGCCCGGCCTACCCTTGGGCTCACATCTAGCTCTCCGCACATCCTTACTACCATCCAGAGTGTGCACTCTTATAGAATGGGGCCCGGCCTAAGTTGAGCTACTCGGCTTCATGGTCGAAACGGCTTATCCGACCAACTAAGTGCTAGGCATACGTTCAACATGATATGAGGACGTACAACGAATCGGTCCTTAACCGACATAGACGGGGATAAATAGGCACCAAGACCTCTATGCCTTGTTGCTTCTCTATCACAATCCCGCCCGATCTCCTTTTATTCATCAACACATGGTTATTTTCATGATAGCAATTATAGTCAACCGTGACCAGATATCTACCTATATCTTGTAGGTGACAAGAAATCACCTGACTTCTACCGGACTAAGCATGGCTAAGCATATATTCGATCCTAGACCTACATAGGATTCAAGATATATTTGTCTAGACAAGGAAAGTATATGCAGCAAGTGATTCCAATCAACCCCTAGTACTTAATGCATCAATATAAAAGGACTCGAGTTGATATTTAGAAAACATAGGAGGCTTAGAATGCTCTGGGACTTGCCTGGGATCCGACACAAGTCAGTTCAGTTAGCTCGTACCGTCTTGGTGACATCTTCGGTCCTAACACTTGCTTAGTCATTCCATCTTTGGGATAGGTTCACCATACACCATCTTTGGGTTAGGCTCTAATATCACATCCTTCCATCATTCACGTGATTCATCTAGCGTACCTAAATGAGATGCACCATGTAGATATGTGAATGGAAAGAATGGC